GAAATAGAAGAAATATAAGAAAGGGAGAGGAAGAATGAAATAAAAGGGTAAAATAATAACAAGGGCTCTACCAGATTCAAACTAGTGACCTCTTGATCTGCAGTCAAATGCTCTACCACTAAGCTAAGAACCGTGTTGACATTGTTGATGCAATCGTGGTTGAGAAAAGTTAGGAAATGTTGCTGACAACTTAGGACTTGCAGACAGGAACTCAAGAAGGTTAGAATGGCATATTGGATTCATCTCCAGAGATCATAACCATGTGGCTGATTTTATGGCAAAAATGACTGCTGCTCAAAACCGGATGACCATCCTCGACACCCCTCCCATTTGGCAGATATTAGATGAAGATAGGCATGTCATCCCTGTATGGCGCTTGGTTGAAAACTAGTTTTGTACTTTGGGTATCCCCTTCCAGTCCGATTTAAAAATAAAAGGGGAAAATAAAATATACATAGCATGATTAAAATACCTTTAAATTATGAAATATAGGCAATAATTAGTCGAAAAATTGGACTACAATATTAAATAAATTACAAAGTATGCATCTAATTTAAAAAACTTTAATAGTGAAGGATTAAATGTGATTCATGTACAACAATAAGGGACCAAAAATGATATTTACTATACTTTTAAATCAAATGTAAAATTATTACATTTTTCCTCAAAAGTGTTACATTTACCCTTACAAGTAATGGAGTTAATTCCAGCAATCTCCCTTATCTTTTGTGACAATTCCATATTTAGTCCCAGACTATCGTTTTTGCCACTTAACACTCTCAGACTTTCATATTTTGGACGCTTTTGGTCCTTCCGGTGAAACTCTGTTTTATGCAAGGGTATTTTTGTCAAATCAAAAGACAAGTGACCTTTACTAGTGTTTGTTACTTATAAGAGAAAATGTAATATACTTTTGAAGAAAAAATGTAATACTTTTAAATCATAATGTAAAAGTAATATATTTTTCCTCAAAAATATTATATTTTTCTTTTTAAGTAATAAACACTTTATTCCGGATTATTATTACATTTTTCAGTATAAGTATTACATTTTCATTTGTCCCGACTCGTCTCATGGCACGATCTCACACAAGTTTTTGCCTTTAAAATTATCAATTTCTATTATAACACAAACTCCCTAAATTACCAAATTAAAATTTGCCATTAGTAATTATTTATGGGTGACAAGGGAAACTCGCAACCACTTTCTAAGGGTGTGTATTGAGTAAACTTCGTTTCTATGTAATAGTTTGCAAATCAAATAAGAGAGGTAAATTGCACTAAAAAAAATCTTGTCTAGTGAACTCAATCAATAAAATATTGACAAGAATTAAATATCGCTATTAGTATTTGTTTAATTCTATATTATTTCTTCTTTCTATACATAGCATAAGTAGACAATAATTTAGTGCCTAAAATTAAAGGGGTATCCCAATTTTATTGAAGAGTGTGTTTGGCCATATGTTAAATAGCAATCGTTATATCCTACACCACGGCGCACATAGCACTGTGCGCCGCGCGCCTCCCAAAACGACGTCGTTTTGGGATAGTGTTGGGAGGCGCGGTAGGAAGTTGCTGAGATTATATGTATTTGTTCACAACGTTATGTGTATTTGTTCACAACGTTATGTGTATTAGTTCATACAGTTATGTGTATTTTTTATACAATTATGTACATTATTTTTATGAGTTAATACCCAAAATCGTCCTCGACTATAGTGGTTTTTCTCAATTTCGTCCTAAACGACTTTGGTGACCTAATATCGTCCTAGACTTTTGTGTTTCGCTCAATTTAGTCCCAGACTTTTGTGTTTTTGCTCAATTTAGTCCTTCATTTGTTATTCTGTCCATTTGGTGTTAAATAAATGGACAATTCAGTAATTTTAATATTGACATCTCTTTACTCATAGACATGTGAACTACGAAATCCTTTTTTTTTTTTACGAATTACTCCCAGAATTACTCCTAAAACTGCGAATATAAAATTTGATTTGTAGGTCCGGGAGTAATTGTGGGTGTAATTCGTACAAGAAAGAGGAATTTCGCACTTCACAAGTTGAAAGTAAAGAGAGATCAATATTGACATTACTGAATTGTCTCTTTATTTAACACCAATTTGACGGAATAACAAATGGAGGACAAAATTGAGCGAAACACAAAAGTCTGGGACGATATTAGGTCACCAAAGTCGTTTAGGACGAAATTGAGAAAAATCACTATAGTCGAGGACGATTTTGGGTATTAACTCTTATTTTTATACAATTATGTACATCCGAATCAGAAAATTTGTGTGTATTATGTTAAGAGTTGATGTGTATTATGTTAAAAGTTTATGTTTATTATGTATTATGTTTGATTATGTGTATTATCTTTTAAAAAGAGTATGTATATTTTGTTATATAATTATGTACATTCATGTATAACATTATGTGTATTCTAGTATAACATTATGTACATCCTTGAACATCGGGTTTTTTTTAAAGAAAAAACTACTGCCATTCACTAGGGCGGGAAATTTCAAAAAAAAAAATAATTAAAACGACGTCGTTTTGCATTTGGGCGCATAGTGCAACGCGCGTCGTGGTCTAGGATACAAATTGCCGTTAAATAGAGAAAAGGCTTTGAAAGCCCAATTGCGTGCTAAAGCTCAACTCAGTCAAACTTAAGACGCAAATTATGCTGTGCAACCGAATGCACCTTGCAAGGTGCATACGGTTGCAAAACGGCACCGTTTTGGTTAAAAAAATGCGCGTCCAACTTAAAGAATAAATCAGGTTCGATTTTCGGCAATAACATTTTTATATATCCAGAAATTCATAACTATATATCCACAAATTCATAACTATCACTACTGGAAATTAGTGTTTTTCCGACCTCATTTCCGACCACCTAAAAAATTGGTCGGAAAAGTTGATTTTTTTTTATTTTTTCGACGAAGGGTTGCAGAGGTCGGAAAGTGGTCGGAATTTCCGACCACTTTTACTAAGTGGTCGGCAGTTCCGACCACCATTAGATGGTTGTCGGAAATTTTTCCAACAGTTCATATTTTTTTAAGCTGATCTTGTTTCCGACCACAAGTTAATGTGGTCGGAATTTCCGACCACAAGTTAAGGTGGTCGGAATTTATTTATTTATTTTGGGTTTGGTTGTTGTTATTGTTGTGGTTCAATGGTATGAAGATCACATGATTTATCTTTTTTATCATTGATTATTTCACTCATACTCTTTTTCTTTTTTTTTTTTTTTTTCAATTTCAACTTGCATTTCTTCAATCGATCACGACGTAGAGAGTTTATTAATAGTATGTTGGCATGTTGTGTTGTTCAATATAAACAACCAAATTAGCATAGCGTAGCAGTCATCTCATTATTCTTGCTTTGAAAAATAATACCGCGTTACTCTTTCCATATAGATACATGAAATCTTTTTCTAACTTCAACTCCTTAAATGCTTTATTCTTGTTCGGACTTAAGACTCTACAGTCATAGTTCTATTGAGTTTTATAATCCTACATAATGTATTTGTATATCATTGTGTATTGTATTGCGTATTTTTTTATCATAGAATAGAAACATTCATCTGGTATCAGTAGTCTAGGTTTACTCATTGATGGGATATGGGCCTTGAACGGACCATGGGCCTAGAAAATCGGATAGGTGGGCTGGGCCCGGGAACTGGGCTGTTAATCGGATTCGTCGACAAGAGAAAAGAGGGGCCCTTTTAACGAAGCGAGAGCGCCGAGTCCTAGAGAAGGCGATCGAGACCTAGTAGTCGGCATTAGTAGGGATTGGGGAGTCAAGTATTCTGGTTACCATTGGGGCAGTTAAAGCCTCCATAAATGGTCAGTCAAGATAACAGTTCTCCAAGAAGATAACGGGAGAAGAGCATTCGTTAAACTTAATTAGATTCTTAATATCCTCTTTAGAGCCCGGCTTTTAACAGGACTCGAACACCTATAAATAGGCCTCTAAAAGGCATTGTATAACACACGCTGGGAGGATACACATACTAAATCCAATTGACATAATGTATTGTATATCATCGTGTATTGTATTGTGTTTTGTTTTTTTGTTTTTTTTTTTTTTAAGGATCAACGGGACGGGGATACCCGAGGGAGACTCAAAACTAGTTGGACTCCCTAACTCTACGGGCACTTGTGACACGAGCTATATCATGAAGCTAAGCCTCTTCGCTAATGATGTGACATGTTTTGTAGATAGTCGAATCTTCTTGCTGGAACGCTCCAGAGGTAGCTAAAGCATCCGCAACCCGATTTTGCTCCCTATAGATAGTACGCACGGAAATTCTCCAATTCCTCCCAATCCAACGCTTGGCTTCCTCAATTATTTCTCGAATAGGTCCACGAAGGTCGGTGTCTGTTTGAATCCAATCCACCACCTTTTTAGCATCGCTTTGAATTTCAACGTCACGAGATTCCATTAATCCACGTTCATTTGTTGCATCAGTATTTAACGTTAGCCTATGGTTCGTCGAGGGGCTCCAACATAGGTGGGCTAATTTTTCTTTGGTAGCTCTTCCCTGCAATTGCTCCTGTATTGTGTATTGTTAAGTTAGAATAAAAGTTTTAAGGAGTTGAAGTTATAATATTTTTATAACAATTACAAATTTTGAAAAAAAAAAATTGTAATTGATCATATTAGTATATAATTATAATAACAATTTTTCTTGATAAAAATTATAGAAAATGCACATTTATAAATACTTGAAATTTGAAAAAATAATGTAATTTTTTTTAATATAAAATAAAATACTTGAAATGTATTTTTTTTTTTCAAGTAGACAATATTTAACGACAATATTTTAAAAAACTATTATTATATTTTAGAATTGTACTTATAAACTACATTACACTTAAATAACTATATTGAACTACACTTAAACAATTATATTTTACTTATATTTTAGAAAAAAAAAAAAACAAACAAAAAAATTGGCGCTTACCCAAATTTTAGCCCTAAAATTTCACTAAGTGAGTAAGTGGCGCCTTCTCCCTTTGTGTCTCCTCCCTCCTCCAGTCCTTACTGCGGCCCCAAATCTTCCTCCTCGACGAGCTCATCCTTCCGCCATAACTCGACGACGCACCGGCAACCATGCACTCGGTAGTAGAACAACCACTGCTGGAAATTATCGCAGGGCGTCAGTGAACTGCACAAAGACACCTTCTCGAGAATCTTTGTATAACAAGGTTTGTTTCTAGTTTTAGGCCTAATGCTGTAATTCATGTTTAATTTTGTCCAAAATCTTCACTGAGTTTACAGTTCTTCTGCTCCTTCCTGCTTGAGTTTCATTCTTAGGTTGCTTGGTCGGTGGTTTAGGGTTTAGGGTTGCTTGGTCGCAGGGGGTCGGTGGTATGTTGCTTGTATGTTGATTTTACATAGTAGTTGCTTCCACAGCTTTGAAATTAGTTATTTAGCTATCTTATTTGTGTTTTATTTAATCAAATTTCTGGTTTGTGAGGTCTGAAGCAGCATTCTTGGCTAGAATACTGGCATCTCCCTTTTTTTTTTCTTTTGTTTTTTTATAGATAAGTTACTTTGTATTTTTTAAGGTTTTTTTTTTTATTTTTTTATTTTTATATTTAAGAAATCAGGGCTACCTTAGCTTGTTTTGTTTCTGACCCAGGGCTACTTATGCATATGTGTGTGTAAATATATGCCAGGCAACTTGAACTTGTTTGTGAATATTTTCACTGCAAACTAAAAGTTCTTTAATCAAATTTTCAGCATTATTATGTTGTCAAAGGAAATTCTTTATTGAACTATTATCTAATACCTTTACTCTCATTTAAAGAAACACTTTTTGTGTATTTGCTTGCTTGTAGACTTCTCCGATGACTACCACTAGGCTCTAGCCATGAAAATGTAACAGGAGTAACAGACTAACAGGTATTAATTGATTTACCTATCTTCTTTCAGCCATATTCTTAATGAATTATTTTTAGATGTTTTATTCTGGTTCATGGAGGTGGCTTTGAAGCATGGTGCTGGTACAAAACTATGAAATTTTTAAAAGAAGTTGGATATTTTCTTCAACCAAACATTTGCTAAGGAATACATCATAGTACTTGTACAAACTGCTAAAGAATCTGTTATGTTTTCGGTTTTCCTGAATTCAAAACTCAAAGACACTTAATACTATTTTTGTGTTTGCTTTCAAGTTCAAAACTAAATGTTCTTTAATCAATTTTGCAGCCATTATTATGTTGTCAAAGGAAATTCTTTATTGAACTATTATCTAATACCTTTACTCTCATTAAAGAAATTTAGTATTTTTTGTGTGTTTGCTTGCTTGATTTTAGCCAATAGAAGAAGAAGACGATGGAAGAATAAGCAACAGAATGCAGTCCCCCACCCAAGCTTCATGTAACTCTTATACAGTAAAAAGAGTATCTTGGAATTAGTTTGGAATTAGTTTCTGTTGATTGGTTTTTATCACAGTTTGTTGCCACAGATTAATCGGTTGCTACTGCTTTGGGCAGAGAATTTGTATGCATATCCTTGGGTGGCGTCAAGGATGAGGCTGATATAATAGGGAACAGGAGGACATATGTTGGAAGCATGCCAGGCCATCTTATTGATGGAATAAAGGTGAAAAATGGTTATTGCCTGGTTTTGATTTCTTCATTGATTGTTTCTTAGTCTTTTTTGGAATATGCAATTTATTATAGTATCACATGTATGTGCTGGTTGGGGAGTAAGGACAAATGTACTTACTTTCCATCGCACAAGATGTTCCTCGACCACATTATGCCAAATATAAAGCATGCTAATGAAATTATTAATTAGAATATTTTTTGAATCAGATCCAATAGGATATGTCAATGGGAAAAGAGAAATTTATTTCAATACTGTAACTAAAATTAGTTCTCAGCTGTGTTATATAAAAATGTCATCACCATTACTTGTCAAAATCCATATGTATATCTATTTTCATTTTATTTTTATAGCCTTCTCATTAGGGGAAAAGTTAATATAACTCTTTTATCATAGAGGAGGTGTCTCCAATCCAGTCATGCTGCTAGACCAGATTGACAAAATAGGTTCTGATGTTCGGGCTTGATCCTGAACAGACCAAGACCTTCAATGACCAGTATCCTTTCATTTACTTATTTGAATTACTTTTCATAATTATCCTGATAATTATGCAACACTAGCCTTCCATTTCTAGTGTTTTGAGTGTTCTTTTTAAATTTTGATGTGATTTCAAGTTGGCCTTTAGATATGTATTGCATTTTAAATTACTTTTATATTGCTTGTCACATTTCTCTTTTTCGGTACATTCTGAGGAGGATGAATATTGAACTCCAATCCCAAATCCAGAAAAAAGAAAAAAAATGTCAAATATTGTCAATGTGATTTTGAGTTCAGTTTATGTCAAAAGTTCAGTTAATGCATACATATATAGGAAAAGATTGTTTAATTGGTGCCAATAATTTATCATATCAATATATCATGCATGCTTCTTTGTCTTGATTCTTTAATTTAAAATATAGCTACCTAAATACACCATTTGACCTTTCAAAGGTCACATTTGTGGAAACTGCAAATAAGATTCGACCATTCCCCCTGCACTCTTGGACAGAATGGAAGTCATTGAATTGCCTGGGTACACACCTGAAGAAAAGCTGAAAATAGTCATGCTGCACTTAATTCCAAGAGTTCTTGATCAGAATGGTTTAAGTTCTGATTTGCTTCAAATTCCTGAGGTACTACAGTCATTACTTGTTATCAATCATCATAGTATCAGAATTGTAAAATGTTTGCACATTGCTTCCACAAGTATCAAGTGGTCAATTACTCAATTTTTAGTTTTTATTATGTTGAGCTTGTTGTTTACTTGTACGGATGTCGCGGAAAGCCAAACACTTTCACATACAGAGAATATGTAAATTAATCATAGCAGTTACATGTATGAGGTTATAATGAGTAATATGGGGATTTTAGAGGTGGTTGGAACAATTTCTTACCAGAGAATTGAAATGATTTTTTTTTTTGTTTTTACTTAGATAACTTTCCGACCACCAAGTTATCCCCATACAGGTTCGGTATGTTCCGACCACCCGGCGGTCGGAAACTACGAAAATGTTTTTTTCTCCCTGACCAAACTTTTTCCAACCGCTTACAATTGTGGCCGCTATTTCCGACCACTTCATGTGGTGGTCGGAATTACCGACGGGGGTTTTTCCGAACCCCCAAAGTGGTTGGAAAAGTGATCGGAACAAGGGTTTTTGACCAAATTTTGACTATTTCCGACCACTTTTTGGTGGTCGGAAAAATGGCGATTTCCAACAATGTATATATCCACGGTGAATGAATGAAGTAAAAATCCACAATGAATGAACTAAATATCCACAATGAATGAACTAAATATCCATAAATTCATAACTATATATCCATAAATTCTTAACTATATATCCACAGTGAATGAATGAAGTAAATATCTACAATGAATGAACTAAATATCCATAAATTCATAACAATATATCCACAAATTTATAACTATATATCCAGAAATTCATAACTATATATCCACAATAATGCTATTGCCGAGAATCGAACCCCGATTTTTTTTTTTTAAGTGGGACGCGCATTTTTAGTCAAAACAACGTCCTTTTGCATCGTATGCACCATGCGCATGGTACATTCGGTTGCACAGCATAACTACAGCATAACTATTGAACTTAAGAAGAACCATTATCTGGGCCCAATTAGCATTACATCAAAATCCCTTATTCATGCAAAGGCCCAATTATTATGGGCCGCTAGTTTCATATATTTGGATTGAGCCCAAATCATGGAACGTTATGTTGTGAGTACGTGCCCACCTTGCAAGGTGGGTACGATTATATATCCATAATTTCTATATTGTAGATACATACTTTTTATACTGTAGATTCATAAAATTTATACTTTAGATTCATAATTTCTAAACCGAAGATTCATAATTAAAATACAGTAGCATAATTTCTATATTGCAAATTCATAATATCTGTACTGTAGATTCATAATTTCTGTACTGTAAATTCATAATTTCTAAACTGTATAGTTATCAAATAATGAACATATAGTTCTCTGATTTGTGAAAACAAAGTTCAACAATTGGAATCTAAAGTATAAATTTTATGAATCTACAGTATATAAATTATGAATCTACAGTATAGAAATTATGAATCTATAATATAGAAATTATGGATATAGAACCGTGTCCACCTTGCAAGGTGGGCACGTGCTCACAGCATAATTTGTGGCTCACCCTCAAGTGGCAAATTATGCTGTGGAAACGTGTCCACCATGCATGGTGGACATGTTTCTAAAATGGTGTAATTTAAAAAATATATATATTTTTTGAAGAGCCGTGAACGACGTTATTCGTGATTTGGCAGACTGTTTCATTCGCGATTTGGCAGTTTTCCTTCACAAGTTTCTTCTCAGTTGCAATCATATATCTTCGCAAGTTTAATCTCTCCTTTCCTTTCATTTTTTGTTGTGTGTCGTTGTTCTGATTTGCATTATTGAATTCGTCGATGGAGGAGGCAACAGATCGGGGAGATTTATCGGTGATGATTTGTCTACAATTTTAGGTTTTTTTTTTGCATTCGATTTTTACGATTTTTGCGATTTTTGCATTTGATTTATTTGATTTTTCTGGTATTTGAGATTTATGAGCTTAAAATTTGAATTTGAATTTGAATTTATATTTGTATTTATTATTGCGAGAATTTGGTGTTAGCATTACGATTTATTCATGTGTGTGTTTAGAATTTGTGATTTTGGTTTGTTTTTACTGGTGATTATTTCAGAATTTGGAGTTTTTACTTTGTTCACAATCTTGGCAGTTTGCATGTTCATAATGTCGCAACTGTAAATTCATAATTTTTGAGTTCTACATTCAGAATTTGTGAACTGTATATTCACAATGTTATTGGTACTCTGTATCTGCTTGTAAAATCAATATCCACATATTGCAAGTTATATGTTCATAATTTGTGAACTCTATATTTAGAAAAATTCAATGCTCTGCTCCTCTGTTTCTATATTTCAATGAATGAAGATTTGGTGGGTGATTCAATAAGTGCTGATCAAGCGATTTAAACATTGATGGCTCTTCTTCGATTCTAGGTTTTTTTTTTTTTTTTTTTCTAGTTTTTACTGTGAATTAACAAATCATGTTCATTATGGTTTTGGTTTTATTTTTTGTGTTCTCAATGATGGGGTTACTGGTAGAATTATGTATTTATTTGTGTGATGTGTTTTGAAACCATTGAATGTGTGATTCATAATATTTCAACTTTATATTCATAATATTTGAACTACATATTCATAATAGTTGAACTGTACATTCATATTGTGCAACCCTGTTATGTTTTATATTTTTAGATGGAAATTTTATTCTTTTGTAGAGCATGGCTTGATTTATTCGGCATTCCCCATTCCCCCTCTACTTAGGAACTATATTTCCATCAAACATTAATAGTTGTTATACTTGAGGTTATATTCTCTAATTGCAATTCATGAAGATTTGGTCGGTGTTGTAGTAAGTAATGGTGATGAAGCTTATGAGCTGTATAAAAATATGCGTATAGAGTTGGTTTTAGTGTGAGGAAGGGTCAACAACGTTACAAGGCGTCTACTAAGACAATTCAACTGAAGAAGTTTTTCTGTTATAAGGCTGGTTATAAGGTTAAGGCAAACAATGGTGTCAATGCGTATTCAAAAATTGATATAAAGACGGGTTGTGGTGCATTTGCTCAGTTTGATGAAGGTGGGGATGTGTTGTGGATAGTTACAAAACATGTGAAAGTGCACAATCATGAGTTATGTGCTTTAGACAAGAGTCATCTACTTCGTTCACATAGAAGAGTGGGAAATAATCAGCTTTTATATTTAAAAGATAAAAGATTTGAAGAAGAATGGGGTTGCATTGGTGGATGGTATAAGGTTTTTGAAACATCAATCAGGGTGGTCTCCATTTGTTGGTTTAACCAATCGAGATGCTTTGAATTCGTTAGCTTGTGATACATTGAAGTGTTTGGATGAAAATGATTCCAATTCTTTAATTAAAATATTTAGGAAGAGGTAGTCTAATGAGTCAGATTTTTTTTTTTTATTATTGTGAAGTTGATTCGGATGTAAGATTGTGTAGTTTTTTTTTTTTAGGGATAGTCAAATGAGACATGATTATGAGTTGTTTGGGGATTTTTTAGTGCATGATACAACAAATCGCACTAACAAATATGATATGATTTGTGGTCCTTTTGTATGGATGAACCATCATCGCATGAATGTAATGTTTGGATGTAGTTTTTTGATGAACGAGAGGATAGAATCCTTTGTGTGGTTGTTTAGAGAAATTTTAAGATCCATGAATGGAAAGTGTCCACTGTCTATCATGACGGATCAATGTGCGGCTATGACTGTTGCTATTTCTATAGTCTTCCCAACATCACGTCACCGTCTTTGCTTATGGCATGTTGGCGAGAATTCGAAAAATCATATCAAGACGTTAAGGAATAAACTTAGTGAATGTGTCTTGTAACTTTCAAGATGGTGACTGAGTATAAGTGCCATAAGAATACTTGGCTAGAAAAGCTTTATGATTATAGGGTGAATTGGTGTCCAGTATTTAACAAAGATTATTTTTCTGAGGGCATTTTATCTTTCCAAAGGAGTGAAACTGCAAATTATTCAATTTCTATAAGGCTATCTAAGACTGCCGGTCTTTGTGATTTCAATTCATATTTTGTTAGTGTTATTTCTAAATGGAGAAGTAAAGAAAACGGTGAATATTTTCGGTGTGCTCAAGGAGTATCTGCTATGATGATGGAGCATGTGAAACTTCTTTCACATGCTAGAGAGGTATACACTATTGAGATCTACTTTTTGTTTGAGGAACAATTTATGAAAGGCAGTTCTTGTCATCAAGAAATCATTTTGAATGATGGTTGTCATTACAAGTATCACGTGTGGCGACTAGATATAAACATTATAAGGCATGAAGTAAGTTTTAAGCCAATCAATTTCGACATTTCTTGCAATTTGTTGACTCAAAGTATTTTGTCAAAGTTATGTGCAAAAAGAATTCCAGTTATATAAAGGAATACCAGTCCTAAGAAAAATAGTTATTGAAGAATACTAGTTCTAAGGGGATTTGTTGTTGAAGATTTTCTAGTTCTATTTTGATTAGGAATAGCTTTGTTTTTTCACAAATTTGTTAGGAGTAGCTACTATAAATAGGGGTTGTCCTTTATTGCAGAGCTTGGGCATTCGACATTAATCTTGTGAGGTCTGAGAGTCTTTGAGAATAGGATACTAAATTCTCCTAGAAAGTAGTACATGTGTTTAAGTTTCAATAGTTTGGTAGGAAATTAAAGATCATTCTATTGTGTAATCTCAGGTTCCAAACAGTGTACTTTAAATATTGAGCTTTTGGTGGATTTAGGCAAATTTTCAAATTGAGAAGTACCTCGTAGATAAGGGTTGTTTTCCCGAACTGCGTTACAGATTGTTTGTGTTACAACTTCAGTTTCGACATCACTGTGTGCTGCGCTTTACAAATTTCACAGTTGCAAATTGTTTTCTGAATTGGGAATACTTTGCTGCCATTGTTATGTATACTTCATGTACATTGTGTTTCTAGTATTCCTGATAAATACATTCTGAAAAGATGGACTAAAAAGGTTGTTGATGGTAGAAATGTAGACATTGCTTCTTTGATTTATAACGTCGTGTTCCCCTTCAATTTGGGTTGTTGAGAGATTAGTAGGAAATTCCAAAGATTGATTGTTTCTAGTCAAGACAACAGTGTTGCTAGACAGTTTTGTGACGAAGCTGTCGAGAATGCAAAGAAAAATATTGAAGCTAAGATTGAGGATGTGAATATTGAAGAGTGTGGTGTTTCATCATCAAGTGGTATTGTACAAAATCCTTCAAGCAGGAGGTTGAAAGGTGAGA